AAAACTTGCGTGTTTTGTCTATGGATATTTTTTTGTCTGTAACAGACAAAACACGCCGATTCACAGCTAAAAAAATGACCTGTCACAGACAAGTGTATAAGAACGTGTATAAGAACGTGTACAAATAGAATGACTCTTTGAATAATGAAACAATCAATTGGTACACATTATTGGTACACACTCATGTCTGTGAATGCTTTTTTTATGTCTGTCCCAGACAAAACGTATTTGAAAAATACGTTTTGTCTGGGACAGACTTAAAAAAATATTTCATAGACATGAGTGTGTAAGAGTGTGTACACAAAGTGTGTATCTCAAGTCTAATAAATGAAATTTAGCTAGCACATAGTTATTTCCTTATAATAAGTGTGAACAGGCTGAATTACTAGCTCTAAACTAATAATTTTTCCAGCCCAACGGCCCAGTAGACCCAAGATTACAGAAAAGGGGGAAAAGTTGTCCTTCCTCGTTTCTTAATCAATTAATGGCGTAACAGTTCACTGTTTTGGAGTTTTAGATAGACTTTCTTGTATTATTGATTATGGATTAATATGATTATTTGATTATTTTATTAATTGATTTCATTCATAGTTGAATATTTGATTTTTTAATTGTTCATTGTTATCTATTTAATGTTTGTGTTATATATAATTTGTTGATTTTATTAGGTAAATTTTCAATTATAATTAAATTTAAAAATTTTGATATTTTCAAGGTAAAATAAAAATGATTGAATATGGATAGGAGAAACAGAAAAGAACATTAGAGAAAGCGGCTCTAAATAAAAAAGGTATAATAGAAATTTTGTCTATGTAAAGAAGTCAAATTTTTAATGTCCTCCACGTGATAAGAACTCAGAGGAAAAAAATGATTTTACTATTGAAAACAAAATAATACAGAATTATCACGTCATAGGAGAGAAAATTTAGGAGTTGATAGTATTGGTTTAGATAGAAAAAGGATTTACAATTTTTTATAAATATCTTTGAAATATTATTACTACTATACTATGCATATTAATTTAGACAGAAAAGGGATATACAATTTTGTTAGATTAAACCCATTTTAATTTTTCGTTCATAGGCCATCAATTGTACACGACCTGACCTTAGAGAGCCTTTGGGGTATCAGATTCAACACTTTGGTGTTTGGTAAATGTCGTACGTTTCAGCCAAAAAATGGCGGTTTGACCACTTTCAGCATCTTCCATAAGTGAAATGGAAACGATGCAAATAGAAGAGTTTTGAGTTAGCGTTTTGAAATATATATGACGTTTTCGATTACGGAGTAATTTTTATGGCCAAATAGCTAAATTATCAAACATCTTGTAACAATAAGACAACTTATTCCGCTAGTCAAACCCGTTGATTGAATCCGCTATTGATAACCCGGTTACATAACTCGCTATCAACTAACCGCTAAACGCTAATCGCTAAATGTCAAACACAATAACTATGGAGTTAAGAAAAACATAGTTATGTGATAATAACTCAAACAGAATTACCCGCACGGGTAGCTTAGTTGGTTCAGTGGTGGGAAATTTGGACCAAGTGACCAAGGTTCGAAACCCGCAGCGGCCGTGTGGAGGTCACAGAACCTGAAATAAGACTGGGCCTCTGGTGCGCATGGGAAAAAGGCCTACCATCATTGGATCGACTGAGTCACCGTGATTAACATCCTCCCAAAAATCCTATCGGGTCGGGATATGGGGGGCTCCTGGGGTGGGAGATTCCACCTTTTTTGGACCAACTCAAACGGAATTAAGAAAAACATAGACACATAGTTGTGTGATAATAATAACTCAAATGGAGTAGCTTTACAAAGTTTTACATATTCACAAACTACATTAAAAGCTTCACAAAGTTGCAAAAACCAGAATCAAATTTGATAAAAATTTGATTTCTAAAACAAGATATTAAGAATGATTTGTGTTAACCAAGTAAATAGGAAACCTATCAAAATAAGGATGTTTTTACTTGAATTTAGAAAGACAAAGACTAGGCGTTACCCAACGGTAACCCTAGAGAGAATTAGAGTGCTGCTTAATAGTAAAACAAAAACATACGGAATAACTTTGAACTTTCTCACAATAATCTTGTCATTGGACCTATCAAAAAATGATTTAACTATCAAATACTTCCCCCGTTCCATAAAAGTTGCAACATTGGAATTTCTGCACTATTCACACACCTTACTTTGACTACAATTTTCTAATAATATATATAATAAAAATATTATGTATAAAATATTAATAAATTTATATTAATGTAAATTTCCAATATATTAACTTTTTTAATGTTTACTAATACGTAAATAAATATAATTACAGTCAAAGTTGCGCGTTGGCAAACGTGAAAGTCAAACCGTTGCAACTTTTATGGAACGGAGGATAGTATGTTTTTTTATGGTCCCATATAAGCTTTTGATTATTGTATTGACGGAATTTAAGGTCCCAAAGTGACACCGTAGAGTTATTATTATAGATTTGAAAATTTGGACTATAAAATACGTGTTCCTTTAATATGTATTTCCATTGGTGTCTACGGGTGATACATTAATCATACTGCCTCCGTCACAAATTGATTTGCAAATTTGACTTTTCTTGGTCAAACAATTTCATTTTATTTGTTTAATTAGGATGTCAATTTTGAATTATATTCTAATTTGGAGATTACATTTTTAAAGAGATTTTCATGTAGTTTCCGAATATGTAAGTTTTAATTATTAAAAATTGAATTAATTATTGATAGGGTGGATTACTTTTTATTATTGATTGACCAAAAAGTGTTGACTGTGCAAAACAATTTGGGACGGAAGGAGTACTCGTACTCTCCATAGTTACTCCCATGTTTTTGTGTACGTGTGAAAATTTGCTAATTTGGAAATTGTTTAGTGGGTCTGAAATTTAATTACCTAATCTGATTCAATTTGATAAATCTATATACATTGTGTTACCTAATCTTAACTATTGTGATTTAATTTGTTTAAGCATACTCTTCTTTTTTTGTTATGCTTAAGTCTGAACTAAGTTGAACAAGCACAAATTATACATTGACACACAAATAAGAGTAAAACAATCCCAAAATGAAAAAAAGACTAATTTTTGTATTTCCTACTCTTTCTTCCTAGGGAAAAGTACGGAAAAGTTACTACTTGTGCTTGGGCCCGTTTTGAGATAGGGTGATGTGTTTCAATTTTTATCAAAGTAGTTCATGTGTTTGATTCCGTTATCACAAGAAGGTCACACCGTTAAAAACGTCTGAAAAAGACCGTTAAAAGTAACTTCGATTTTCCAAAATGCCCGAAAAATTAAAATAAAAATACCGGAAGGTGCGCCTCGTCAAGATGACCTCCAAACCACCTTCGCCTTTGTATTTTTCAGATTTGTTTGAATTATTTTTTAAAAATGATTTCGCTAATATCACTTTTCTGATGGATTTTCCGGTAACAAGGGTGGCTGAAAATGAAAAAGAAAGATGGCCTAGCGGTCATCTTATTGAGGCGCACCTTCCGGTATTTCTATTTTTATTTTTCGGGCACTTTTGAAAATCGGAGTTACTTTTAACGGTTTTTTTCAAACGTTTTTAACGGCGTGATGATCCTCTTGTGATAACGGAATTCAAACACATAAAACACTTTGATAAAGAATGAAACACATGACCCTATCTGAAAACCGGCTCAACCACAAGTACCTTTTCCGTACTTTTCCTTTCTTCCTATTCTAGCTACTCTTACCATCTATTAATTAGAAAGTCGTATTTTTAATTATAATAAAAGAATAAAAAAATATAATAAAAACTCAATAATGAAAATGAAAAATAAATATAAATATGTAGTATAGAAATAAAATAAAAAATATTACATATAAATTAAATAAATAAACCATGTAAACAACATAAAAATATTAAATATGCAGGCCTCTATCGCATCCTCTGCCGCCTCCTAGCACCGTCACCTCTGACCGCCAGAAAAATATCATCTTATATAAAAAATTCACTTTTACTATTTAGAAATGCCAAAGTTTGCTCTAAAATGGTCATCAAGATGACATTATGGATGAAAGTTAGCATTTTTCGGTGGACGGAGATGGTGGTGTTGGAAGGCGGCAGAGGTGGCAGCAAAGGCCTGCAAGTATAATTTTTATTTACATTTCTTAATTTTTTATGTTTTTATTAAATATTCTTATTAGAGTATGGTAATGATAGGAAGAATTACTCCTGTTTTTAGAAATTTAAAATTATATTCTTATTCTTGCAATTTAATTCTTATTTACTCATATTTATGAAATTAGTCCAATGTATGTATGTTAATTCATTAAACCTTAAGAAGTTCTCTTCTTTTAATACTAATTTGTACGTTTGTCAAGGACCAGCATTAGGGCCCGGGCAACATGGGAAACAACCCTAGATTTCTTAAAAAGAAAAACAATTAGACCCAAAAAATCTCCATATGTCTCGTGATTGTGCTAAAAACAGTTTCTTTTAGTTAGAACATTTTCTTTTTTTTACTCTTGAATTTTTGGAACAGTACAATAACATGTGAAATAAGTGATTGTGCTAAAAACAGTTTCTTATATTATGTAATTCTTATTCTTATTTTTAATGGCTCTTTATAGTGCATTATTATACATACCGGAGGGAGTATTTTGTTATGCTTTCAAAAGCATGAATTGTATTTGGTTGCTTGTAATAATTAAGGTCATGGCACACTATTGTAGTTTCTGAATCTGTACATATTCAAGATAGTTATTAATTAACTATATGAACTCATCAATCACCAATATATTTATAATATACTAGATTTGGTTAGAAAGTGTCATTGTTATGCTAAAAAACAAACTAAGTGCGCACATATGTTTTTGGCACTCAAGTAAGTAATTACAAATTTTTTAGCAAATTCAGTAGCTAAGTAAAACAAAAAGAGATGGAGTAATAAGGAGGAGCTAGCCAACAAGAACAAACAAGAGTATATATAATACGAAGTATATAAATAAAGGCACTAGGCTCCTTTATCTTTTGTGAATCCACATACTTCGACCATCTCGGTCTTAGCTAGAAGCTTTGAATTGCTTTAGTTTATCTCTCTCTTTCTCCAATTCCTAGCCTGATGTGATTCTCCACCTTATATCTCATAAAATCTCATCAATCCAACCTTTTCTTTACAAAAGAAAGAGAATTTATTTGAGAAGGCCAAGGGCATATATCAAAAAGCTAGAAAATTTAAAGATCACACTTCCATCCATGGCTTTCTCTTCTGTTCCGCTCTATCTTGATCCTCCCAATTGGCCAAACCATCACCAACAGGTAATTAATCACACCCATAATTTATTATTCTTCCCGAAACAAAAAAAATCCCTACTTTAATTTATTCTTCTTCATCTTTTTTGTTTTTCTGAATATACTTTCATTCATTTCCCAACTTTTGATTCAATTTCTTTTGGTTTTGTTTTTTGTGGAAAGAGCAGCAAGGAGATGGGGTTGATGGAGCAACTGGGAGTTCCTCTCTGCTTGTGCCGCCTCTGCCGCCGCCGCCCGGTGGAGGTCCGGTGAGGCCCGGCTCGATGACGGAGAGAGCTCGGCTGGCCAAGATTCCTCTCCCGGATGCGGCTCTCAAGTGCCCTCGCTGCGATTCCAACAACACTAAGTTTTGCTACTTCAACAACTACAGCCTCTCTCAGCCGCGCCATTTCTGCAAGACTTGCCGGAGGTACTGGACGAGGGGAGGCGCTTTACGGAACGTCCCCGTCGGCGGCGGCTGCCGCCGCAACAAGAGAAGTAGCAAAGTGAGCCGATCCAAGTCACCGGCTAGAGGCGAGCAGCAAAGCAACAATGGAGGGCCCTTGGCGAACTCGAACCGTAACGCGAATATCACGCGCGCCGGCGACATGCTGACGGCTCATTTGCCGCCGCAGCCGCCGTTCTTGCAGAGCGTGAGCGGCTTCGCGGCCACCCCGGATTTAGGGTTACATTACATCGGCGGAAACGAAATGGAATTTCAGGAGGGAAACAACTCCGCGACGGCTGTGAATCTGTCGGCTCGGTTCGCCGATCTGTTTCGGCTCCAGCAAGGAATGACGCAGCAGCTTCCGTACCTTTCCGGCTTGGACCAGCCGCCTCCCGGCGGTTGCTTTTACCAATTCGAGGAGGCTGGAGCCGATCAATACGGCGGAGACCAGCTAGGAGTCAAGGGTTTTGAAAGTGGCGGCACCGCCGCCGCATTTCTCCTTCACCACCATCACCACCATCAGTCGGCTGCCGGAAACGTGAAGATGGAAGATAACAACATGAACAATGGGATGAATATTTCAAGAAACTTTCTGGGAATTTCGGGAAACAACAATAATGACAATTTCTGGACTGGGAATAATAATATTAATGGATACACAACAACAGATCTGTTGCCTGCTGCTGCTGGTTACGCTTCTTCTACTACTAGCCGCCTTCTGTGAGTTTTTTTTAAACGTAATTCCTTTTTTTTTTTTAATTTAATTTTCTGGAAACCCTAGCTATATATCTTTTTCCAAATTTACACACTTACAGTTTGGGTGGCTTGAGGTTTTTTCTATGAGCTAAGTTAATTAATATATGCAAATTGTGATGTACCGTACAAGACTACCAGGAAAGGAAGGAAGATGCATCTGAAATTAAAGTTGTAAAACCCTTTCTTTGATTTCAATTTTGATGGTACATACGTACGTACCACTTTTTTGTATTTCTTTATTTGTGTATTAATTTAATTATATTCTAGTTAATTTATTGATATGGCTTGTGTACATGTATATATATGCTGTATGCAAGTCCATGGAGTAGTCTCATAGGTTATCTTAGCTATGTGCTCATGATCATCAATCATCATATATTATAAGCAATATATTAATTATCAGATGCAATGTCTTTAATATGTACTCCATAGTAATTACCATTTCCTCCATCCTCTTATCTTTGTTTCATTTTTTCCACAACTGGGATGTTTTTACTTGGATCGGAAATTGTTGGTCTGGTCTAGTTTGTTTGAGTCTGATATGGTCTGATCTGATAATTGTCTGGTCTCTGTGTATTTTATAACCATGGAAGTCTGGTCTGGTCTGGTCTATTTAAGTCTGATCTGATCTGGTCTCATCTCGTCTGTTTAGGTCTGATCTGATCTGATTTGGGACTAAAAACAGACTAAGTAAAAAACACTGTTACTAGTAAATTTGCCTCCTACTCTATTTGATAATACATGAGTAGTTGTAATGCATTCTTATTTTATTCACATTTTTAATAAGTAATAACCACACCACTTGTCAAAGTCCTAAATTTTGGGGATGGAGATGGTATCTCAAAACGTCTATTTATATTAGCTTGTTGGAGTGTTTGAAATATTTGTCTAACACGGTAATGGTACAAAACAATAAACCACTATAAAATCGATACTTTTTCTATCAGATTAACATTTTGGGATGAAATCCCAACGTGTAAACATAAATCGGAGACAAGTCCGATCATTGTTTGGTCGTTATTTAGCATTTACGGTTAAGGATTCCACGTTAAAGATTTGTTTAGTCCATTTATACATCCAATATTTTCTACCCGATTTGGGTTAGTGCGGAGCCTTTGGACGTCCTAGGGCGGCCCTAGGATCGATATGAGGTCAGTGGACAGTGAGGAAAAAATAATTGAAGAAAAACATGTGACCAAATCTGTTAGAATCTCACATCAAACAAGTAATTAAAGAAAAAAAAAGTGACGTGTGATCGACCAATTACACAATTCAGTCTTGAATTTTTCTTTGTATCAAAATAGTTTTGGTTCACTTGCATATATAATCAGCTTGAGGCTAATGGCTCATTCATCAGTTTCACAATATTCTTTTGCCTAATTACTCAAATTTGACTAGACAAATATATACTGCCTAGCAAGCCGTGGATCCTTACAACCGTGTTTAAAAACTCCAGGAATGAGTTGTGTTTTTCGCTGTTCCGTTTGAGCCCAGTTTCAGGGGAGTCAAATTATTAATTAATAGATTTAAAGTGAAATTTCACAAAATAACAGTGAAAAATGTGAAACATATTTCAAATATGCATACTATATTTTCCTCTAAATAGAATCATATTGTCACTCAAATGCCTTATTTTCTATCTGAGCAACTTCAATTCAACACATATGAGTTCTTTCAAAACCTATGAACTAATAACTTTTCGTTTAATTTTTCTCATTTTTATTAATAGATTCAATTAATAACCGCTAACATCTGTTCTATTGAATAAATAAATGACTTTTACATTTTATGTCTTAGCTGCTCTAAAATTTAGTACTTCATATGTCCCATTTTGGTCATCTTACTGTCTTTTTTGAATTGTCATCAAAATGAATGTGTGTTTCCTTTTTTGGCAAAAAATATGTGGTATATAACATTTTATTTTAATATACTCAAAGATTAACTCCAATTCTTATGTTTCAACAACTTTATTATTATTATTATTAATGTAAGATGTTTTGAGACTTACACCTTCAATCTATACGCGTAGTATTTTGTTGGATTTAATCACAACTTTCACACAATCTATATATGTTCAAAAAAATGTATCTTGTTTGATTCGGTTCAAGTTCTCATTTAGTTTTGGCCAATAGAAATTATTAGTATATATAATCTCAAACCCTAGCTAGTAATTAATCTCTCAAGTGGCCAAAAAGGTGCCTAGTAGCTCACCTGTTTGTCGTGACTAAGAAGATTGAGTAGGTTCAAGATCAGAGATTACAATCATTCATCAGTATCAGTCAGCAAACATGCAATGCAATAGATGATTGTACGTGAAGTACGACAGGCCGGAACATCGAGTTTAGTACAATACGAACTAAAGGTGAATATGTTCATACTTCATTAAATGATAGATATTGAACCCTTCAAGCCTCTCCATTCCGATCGACCCATGCCCTGCCATGCAAATGTTTCTTTTTTCTTTATTACACCCAATTCAACTACTAAAAATGTTACATTTACACCATACTTCTCCCGAATAATCGTAGATTTTATAAGAAATTGATCAAAATATGAGCAAAATAAGGATAAAGTTTTAAAACAGGAGTAAGTATGTTTTGTTTCATAAGTAGGACTTATATAGTTAAATTTAAACAATAAAAACTTTTCACAATAGTACTGAATGGACCACTTTTCAATGTTACAATGACACTCCTATTTGAAAAATTATGATATGTTTACTCCTATTTGGAAATTTTCTCAAGATTTAACCTTGTACCTTATGTTTGTGCCCATCATTAGTTCTATAACTTTACTCTCTTGTAGACCACTGACCACATCTTCAATTCTATTCAACAAATCTATTTAAGCTAAGGATTCTTCCACCACAATATACTATCATGTTGACAACATTATTTTTATGAGGTTTTGTCAAAAGTTGTGCAATATGGTGTAAAATCCTTAATATGGATAAATTTATTAGTTTGAGAATATGATGTCTGAGTAAGTAATTAAAGTTATATAACGAATAGCGAAATACAAATACTCCGTATAAGCCATGGTACTTGTTGGGATATTAGGGTTCGGCCCAATATACCGACCCAGAATATCCCTAGGGCTCAAGAACAGGGGAAAGCCCAAGGTAAAGTAATGAGATCCCGATCGGGATCTGGGCAGCTAGAGAAGACACTCATTCGACACATCCCGAACGAGATGTAATTCACACTTGCATGGAAAGCAATTAATCACATTGGAGCACCCCATACCCCCCACCTACCCACCTCTAGTATAAATAGCAGCATTTATTTCATTGTAAAGGGTTATCATTTGTTCACTCACTATCTCATATTGCATTCTAGCTCTTGTATTGGACTGTGGACCGTAACTCCCATTCGGCCATTCTTCTGTAATCACTTAATTAGTGAACTAATACAACTGGAATTATTGAGTGGGTACATCAGCTTTTATATTTTTTTATACACTCTTTCCTACAGCAATCAAATCCTAGATCCAAGGTTGATGTTGGGTCTGTGGATCCATTCGGGACTTAAACTCAACAGTACTAAATCAACAAATCTTATATACGGAGTATTTGATACTATGATAACATGTTTTGTTGGTAGAGCTAGCTGGGGAGTTTTATTTGTACTAGAAGTGTATTCCCATCCTGCACGAACAAAAATTCTTATAGAGGAAAATGGTGGTGTAAGAGTGGCATTTAGCAAAAGGCGCCCTTCGTGGTAAGCATTTATAGTACCCTAAATGATCTCTCAATCAGTCTTAAATTTTCCTTTCCTTTTATGAAGCCAACATTATGCATCCGATTGATGTTCTTGTTTGGGAGGCTAACTTATCAAGCAACACATATATGACAAAGTAATGCGAAGTTATATATTTTTTATAAATCTACAATGTAGTGATGGAGACTCATAAATGAAGTGTTTTCAACTTTGGCTCTCTGGCCATACTTGGACTTGAATTGCTGAATTTCATTCATGGAACATTATTAACATACGAACAGTACACACACCAAGTAGTCTAATGCTATAAAAGTTGAAGCATCAGCATTTTATGGTTATATTTGATGGAGCATTTCAAATCTAAATTTATGAAATTTTATCTTGCATTGGTCTTGAAACTTCGGTACTATTATAATTTAATTAATGAATAATAATCCGTTTTATATTTTTGAAATTGAACCGATTTATAATTTAAATATTCTTTAATGTGATTACGTTAGTATATACTTCCATCCTAGAAGATGAAAGGAGTAGCTCAAGACTTTCGTATTAGTTTATATTTCTATATACAATCTATGCGGGACACTCTAATATATCCGTGTAAAAGTTAATATTCGACTTCGATTTACTTTCATAAGGGCATCCTCATCCATGAGATTATTTAAAGTTTAATTGGATGATGTGTAAGATTGTTTTAGATATCATCATTGTGAGTGAGGAATTATTTAGAGAGATTATTGAAAAAGAAAATCCAGTATCAAGATTTGAATCCCGAATTATTTTAGATTGTAGTTAAAATGCATTTAATGCATGATCTAGAACATTTAATTATTTGAGTATCATGGTTGATGAAGAGTTTTAAGACTTGAAATTATTTGAGACTTGTTGAATAAATGTGATGTCATAATGACGTGTAATCGAAAAATGGTTTATTTTAAGATCATGAATGGAGATGCTCTAATCGATTTTTTTGCTTGTAAGCATTTAATGTACGTTGTGTATCAATATTAGAATCTAAAGTTTCCTTCATTGCCATAATTGTTTATTGTTTATTTTAAGGTGTTAGTGATTAGTACAAAAAGTCTTGGGAGAATTACCTTATGGCATCCTCATTAGGAGGATTATTACAAGATTAAATTGGTGACATGACAGTTTTTTTAGAAAATTATCAATGAGTGACATAGATTATTTAATAGGATTATTTGCTACAATAATCTGGGATCAAAATATGAATCTGGATTATTTTAAGATTATTTGAAAAGTATATGTAATAGAGATAAATGCGGGACAGAGAAAAAATAGATTATTTGAAGATGATGATTGAGAGACATAAACGAATTTTGAGATTATTTTATAAATAATTACATAACAATATTTAAATGGTAAGAATCATATAAAAAATTGATTATTAGAGATCATGAATGGAGATGCTCTGAATAGTACCAAAACATGGTTTTTTTCCCAAAATAGGATCAATTAGTTTAAACATTCTTAAATAGGACTTTTTATGTGTGATTGGACCAAAATACCCCCACTGCTGCCCATGGACTGCTACCTGCTGCCAGCCGCCTGCCACCAGACCTACGGCCACCGCAGCCGGCCGCCGGCGCCGTCGCCGGAAAATTCTATAAAAAAAATCTGGCAGACTGACAGATTCTGCCGCCGCCACACACTGCCGCCGCCGCCCGATTGATCCGCAC